GGTCTACCGCCTCATCGTGGCGCGGGGGTGACTCTGGATGTCGAACTGCGAAATACAGCGGAGGTTTATCTCCCAGCAGGGTCTCCCAAGCTGAGAAGGAGTTCGACGTTTCCGGTCCCCCGGATACCCAGCTAAGAGTAGGCCATGCCAGAAGCACCACCGTCTGGCTGATTGAGTCGCTAATTGATTTCCTGATCGATATAGGTCAGTGACTGCCTGTGGTGAAGGCTTGGCAAGCCTTAGCAAGGCTGCGAAATTTGGAGATTTATTTCATTGCCTCTACAGTATGTAATAGGAAAAGAAGCCCTGCACACTGAATTAAATCTCCGGCGTCGGATGTCATCAAGACCATTGTCAGGTTGCACAGAAGGCCTTTTTGGACCAAAAGGTTACGTCAATGACTCGCCATGGAGATTGTCTCATGCTCAGCACCTACAACGCCGATCTTCACGCTCTTCTTGAAGCTGCAGGGAGCATTACTATCACGTAATTGCCTTGCAGGAAACAAAGGCAAGTGAGACGGATGTGAGGCAGCTGAGTGGTGGCACACTCATCATTCGAGGTGAGGAAGTTCCATCACGAAACGTTGGAGGTATTGAATTTGTCGTACACCCACCTGTTGTCCATCTTGTCGATTCACATGAGATCCTATAACCTCGCCTGGTTATCCTTCGACTCCCTCTACATCAGAAAACCATTTATTATCAACTGCTATTCTCCAACATCAGCAGTTAATGACCCGCAACTTGATGCTTTTTATGAGGATTTGGAGGAAGTCATCCGCAAAGAGAAGTCCTTTTACAAATTTGTTATGGGTGACTTCAATGCGGAAATCGGGATGTCAGATGAAGGGGAACATAGTATTGGAAAATATGGATCAGGACTCCGAAACGAGAATGGTAACCGTTTTGTTGGGCTCTTATCTGCGGGACGGCTTTTTCATAGCAACCCCATCTTCATGAAGAAAGAACACCGGCGGTGGACATGGGAGCCACCCAACGGTACGACTCAGGCGTAGATTGACCACATTCGCACCAGTCGAAGGTGGTGCTTCCTGAACGTCTCAGTTATACCATCCTTCAGTAGTGGCTCGGATCACCGTCTCCTTCGAGCAACAGTGCGATTCAGCCGAGAGCTGGAAAAGATCTGCCAGCGTGTTGGAGGAAGAAGAGAAGTCATATATGACGGCCTCAGATTGGAGGAGCTCCTGACCACTTGTGACTGGCCCATCGAGGAGGACCCGACGAAAGACTACGACCTCTTTCTTATAGGACTAAGAGCCTGCGGTGAAAGCGCCTCAATGCCTCGCACAAAAAACTTGGAGCGAATTTCTAAAGCCACCAAGGATCTGTTAGAGAAAGAGCACTGAAGCTGGATCCGACTGCATCATATCTCTAGCGGCTGGTGGCCAATACCAGTAGAACAGCTTTGCAAAAAGGTCTTCGAAAGTACAGGCAATTGAAACTTTTGGAAGGAGCACAAGGAAGAAGAAGTCTAAAGAAGTACCACAGGGACCTTCCCAATTATCGTGTTCCGCTGACAACATTACTAAACGAAGACGCAGCTCGCAAATCTTCCCAACAAAATATGGAATCGATCACGAAGATTCTACACCAATCTCTTTCACTCGTCAACACCCGTGTTAAGCACTGATATCTTCGTGGAGAAATATCACCACGGACTCTGCCTGTTGAAGTACGGCCGCAATCAAGACCATGAAGGCAGCCACGGTTCCGAGAACGGCATGTTTCGGTCGCATTTACGAGCTAGGAGACATCGCCTGCACAGGATACTTGCGTAACATCTAACGTCCTACCTTCAAATGGAAAGGACCCCGACCAGTGGACCTCTCAAATCCTTTTTCATAAGAAGGGCGATAGGGAGGATCTTCGGAGCTACCGTTTATTATGCCTGCTGAGCGTGCTTTACAAGCCCTTTACGAAGATTATTCGCTTGCGTATCAAGGACACTAGATGAAGCCCAACCTGTAGAACAAGTTGGATTTCGCCAAGGATTCAGCTGCGTGGATCACATCCAGACAGTTTCGAGGATTACCGGGGTGTGCCAGAAACCGCCTACTTCTCATCCTAGCCTTCGTTAACTACGAGAAAGCGTTTGACAGGGTCGAGACTAATACCATCTGTTAACGCTAGTCGATTAAGGGGTGGAACCATCTTACGTGAGGGCATTGGGCGACTGCTAAAGGAACTGCTCTATAACGGTACAGCGTCGAGTTGTAGTGGGTGATGAAATCACTGGATTGGAACGAAAGAGTTATACGAGTTGATGGGAGGTTCCTCTCGAATCTTCGTTTTTCGGACGACATTGTTCTCTTCTTGAGAAATATCACTAAAACGGAGATGATGAAAGAACTAAACGAAGTAGGGAAGCAGATAGGACTGCGAATCAAACAGAAGAAGACGCTTTTTGTGAGAATTGGAATTAGAAGACTCTCCAATCGCGTAGACGTCTTCTTACGTATATCTCAGGCGTTCGATGAACATGGAGAACGATCTGAAAGAAGAACTGAACAGGAAGCAAAGAGCAGCTTGGGCTGCCTTTGGGCTCCTAAAGGAAGCCACAGACTAG